GCAGCACCTCCTGCGCGGCCTCCATCGATCTTATTGGTCGTGTCTACGTGTAGTTTCAGGTTACGCACTGAATTGTCTTGGGATAACTGGCAGATATTAACGTGTTTCAGATTTACAGTCTTTAAGGTTTGGGTAAGTTTAATTAAAAGAAGCAGTGTTCATCTTTTTAGCCATTGTATAGTGTATTGATCAAGTTGTTAATGTTTGGGTTGTGTCAGAAAATGAAATAAATAATTTGGTAAGAGTATTATGGTTTGGCTCTACATCTGCAGGAGAATTGCAGTCCAAGTAGTAACGCATCTGTTCTGCATCTTAAAATAGCTTGATTAAAGTTCCTACACTTTGCTGAGTATTCGTGGCAACCATGTTAAAGTGCATTTCATACCAAAGTAGCTTGTTTCTCATTGTTGCATGTTTTGAAGTTTCAGGCCTAATACAGCACAGCATTCTCTGCCTGATTTATGCCATGTGTAAGATGAGCAACAAGCTTTCTGTCCCTTCTGATACCCAATTTGAACTTAAAACCCCTGTAATGTCCTAAGCCTGCCTCTCCAGATGGTTCAGTCTTTCAGATTTTGACAGCTATTGATTACTGCTTTAATAGTGGACATATATGGTTGTTATAAATTTTAATATACAAGCTGTAATATTTCTATTTTAAATAATTTAAAACAGTTCAGCCTATTTGAGATCTTCAGTGCTTTCAGTATATATCTGGTTCACATGTATTTCAGACCAGTAGAGATGCAGATCTTGCTGTTGACCTAACGTTTTTGATACTATTCTGCATTTCATTTTTTGCAGCCATGCCTTGTACTTCTCTTCCAGCAGTGATGATGAATTTGAAATGTGTAAGTAAAAGCACATGTCAGTTTCTTTTCTGAAGGAGTATGAAAAGGACATGTTTCTATCTAGTTACAGTGAAGTATTTTTTTTGCATGATTTTCATGCATTGCTCCTCCTGTGAAGTACCTTTTCTCCTTGCAGTACAGGGTTGGTAGCTATATGCTACAGTGAGTCTTCTTGAATCTCATGTCTCAATCTTGGATGCTTTTTGCCTTGCATTATTTTTTCTTGTTGTCTCAGTTTTGTCTGTTCCCTGCTACTCGCTTCCTTCTTGCTCTATAGAGCGTCTTTGAATAAACATTTTCTCTAAGCAGTCCCTGTTCCAAACACATGTCTAAACTACTCAGAATTCCCTCTTACACGTTACAGCTTTTGCTACACGGGTCTTAATCAGTTGGAGGTATGTTTTTGACTTTTCATAGTGGTTCAAGGTCATGAATTGAACTGAATACCAAACTTTACAGGGTGGCTTCTACTGTGCGTGGTTTTCTATCTTATTGTGTGCTGGGTTAACCTTGGCTGGACACCAGGTGCCCACCAGGCTGCTCTATCACTCCCCTCTTGACCAGAACAATGGGAAGAAAGTAAGATTAAAAACTTGTGGGTCAAGATAAAAGCAGTTTAATTATAAAGCAAAAGCTAAGGCTGTGCATGGAAGCAAAGGAAAACCAAAGATTTTCTTGTCTACTTCCCATCAGCAAGCAACGTCTGGCCACTTTCCAGGAAGTGGGGCTTCAATATGCGCAGTGGTTGCTCCCAGAGACAGGCATCGTAACGAATGTCCCCCTCCTCCTCTTTTCCCTTAGCTTTTATTATCCCTTTGGGCAGTTTGGGTCAGCTGTCCTGTCTATGTCCCCTCCCAAGATCCTGCCCACCCCTGGGGCCCTGAGCCTCCTGGGGGATTGGTGTTGGAGAGACAGCCTTGATGCTGTGTGAGCACTGCTCAGCAGCAGCCAAAACACTGGTGTTATCAACACCTTTCTAGCTCCCAGTGCAACACACAGCACCAGGAAGGCTGCTATGGGGAAAATTCACTCCATTTCAGCCAGACCCAATACATCATGTTTAGCCTGTACATGCAAAACCTGATTTTTTAATTTTTTTTTTTTAATGGCTATTATGACTATCATCTTGTGCTACACTAGTTGAGTTCACGCTGTTTTTCCTGTTGCAAGAGTTCTGTTTAGCTCATTTCTTAAATGGTCTAATGACAGCCCTGCCACATCTCGAGTGGGTTTGGGACTGATAAGTAATTTAAAGATTTGTAAATCTTGCAATATGTTCCTCATTGCATATTCAGCATTTAAGCAGAGATGGTAGAAATGGTAAGGCAACAAGTTGTATCTGTTTATTTTGCCTTTTGCGTGTCACTCTTGTGTTATTCCTTCTCCTTTTAAAGCAGATTTCTTGTTACTTCGGAGTTCATGCTGTGCTCCAGCTCAGTGCCATGTGAATGATCCTAAGCATTGTCAAGCCTTACTGCTTATGTCCAGTTGAATTAAAATGTTCTGTGTATAGTTCCTGCACTACCTCTGGGCTTTTAAATCTGATAAATATTTCAGTACTGTCCATTCATTAGGTTATTCCTGACTTCCCTGTAATTTTATAAACTTGAATATTTGTCAGTCCACTCTTTTTTTCTACTCGGGTGGGGTTTTTTTTGTTGGTGTTGTGGGTGTTTTTGTTGTTTGGTGTTTTTTTGTTTGTTTTTGGTTTTGTTTTGTTTTTTTCCTCCTCCATCCAGGGGGCTGTTGAGGCCAAAGTCGTGTGTCAGCTCTGGCACAGAAGGTAGCTGAGACTAACTAGTTGTGACTTGGAGCAGAATGTTTGCAAAGCTGTTCTGTTGCTGCACTATCACTATAGTGACAGCTGCAGGAGAGTGAAATGAAAATATGTGCCAAGAGGCAACAAACTAAAGAGAACTGATTTATTAAGTACCAAGCCATGTTCTTCTGTAAGCTCTCGGTTTCCTGTGACCAGCAGTCACCCTTAATAGTTTGGTGCTGCTTCATGTCTAGAATCACGCTGTGGTTATGATAATTTAGGAAAGCTTCTGGCTGCTGGCCATTGGTGCTTCAGTGAGCCACCTCGATGGGGTGGCCTGGGAGACAACAGATGCTGTGTTTCCTTGTTTTGTAATGAAGGTAGTGGTGAAGACGACTGGGTGCTAAAACTGGAAATGACTTATTGTTACAAATAATTTTGGAGCTTCAAGGTCTTGAATTCTCTTTTCCCCTAACTTGTGCTCCTCTTCAAAGAGGACAGTGCTCAGTCTCATCCTATGGTTTTTAACTTACAGTGTGCTTTCAGGGTGGCATTTGGGTGTAGCTCAGCTGCTCTTCCTGGTACCAGAATCTACCAATCAGCCATTAAAGCTTCATCAAGGAAATCTATCTTCTGGTTTTGGGCTTATGGCACGGTGCAGAAGTTTACAATCGCATTATGCATGCAGCTTCAGATTATAAGAACAAATACTCCTTAACTGCTGTTGGCCCACTATGTTCTGAAGAAGGGACAGTTGTTTCTTTTCTCCCCAGCCTGATTGATGCTTTAATGGAATTTGTTCCACTTCAACTTTCCTGAATCCCTCATAATTATGGTGTGTGACATTTTGATGGCATTTCTGATAGTCTCTCAAGAGTCACTACTTCAGGCATGTACAGTACTGCTGTCTGAACCATGTTCCTTGTGTTTAGTAGTCACCACAGTATTCCTGGAGTGATTAAAACACATTTATTTCTGAGAAGTAGTATTGAATTGCTGTTCTGCCATGAGGTATTAGTTACCAATTTGTTTGAACATTGTTTTGGAGTCGCTTAACAGAATAAGCACATTGATACCTCTTTGCAGTAGGAAAACTGCTACCTGCAGTCATTGAAATGCTTGGAGAAAATATTGATAAACTCATTCAATACCACCCCCGATGATCCACATATATGAGGAGTCTATACTGGATACTGCAAGATACGTAACGACACTTCGTAGCTGGCTTTGTGCTGGGCAAGGGCTGGATAATGAAGGAAATGCTAGACAGCTGTTGTCAGCTTTGAGGAACTGGGAGTTAGAATTATATGTACAGGATTCTTATGTATGGTTTTTGTCTAAAGACTTCGACTGAATTTTTACTAGTTGCAAACTTTTACTCTTAAAAAATGCATAACAAAAGACACAGAACTTTGTTGTTAATTAATCTTTTATTGTTTCAGTTTTAGCTAGAATGAAAACTCCCAAATCTGTTTCTAAAAGGGCGGATGCCAGGTGGGTGCTGTAATTAATGACTATCCAATGTTTATGTATTAGTTTTTTGTGACACATCTATTCAGAATATGGAAAAATGATCAGAAGTTTTAGTGATTCATAGGCAGATATGTGTGTAAGAGCAAGTTCAGACAGAAGAACTGTTGTGTGTGCAATCTGTATGTTCAGGTCAGATGTCACATCAAATGTTTGGAGGTGTGCATGCTCTATTACCATTCCTGGCTGAAACCAGGATAACATACTTGGTAACATTTGCTGTGAGCAACTGTTAATGTTATAATGGGTAGCTATTTTTGGTTTGCTTTTTTAGTGAGCCAAACTTTTTCATTTTCCTGGTTATGCTTACCTTTTTTCACATTATTTGCTTGTTTAACAGTTTGCAGGACTTAACTGATGACTTGGATGACTTCTTGCACTTCAAAGTGAAAAAGAGCACACCAAAGAATGGCAAGTAATTGTCCAACTGCAAATACAAAGCAGGACTTTTAATGGGCAGAAAGCTAGCATTCATTGTTGAGCTCATAAATTTCTGAGAGAGCTTGTTAAACGTCAGCCCATGTTGCCTCTTCCTTGAGGGTAGCAGAGCAGAGGCTTTTCTGTTTCCTCTGGGGGTAACAGAGGAAAGCATGTTCATACTGTTCTGACAAGTGTACATGTTGAAGGGTTGCTGTAGGTCTGCAGATACTGTGTGCTATCTGCTAGTATCTGGGTTTGTGGAAATAGTAGCAACTCGTGATTGATCAGACTGAGCTGCAAATGTGGTATGATCACTGTGGAAAGAGGACTTAAGATATGCAAACCAGTGTTCCTTGTTCCTGTGGCTGTACCAGCTCATTCTGTGGCCAGAAGACACTGAGCAGAGAAAGGAGGTAACAGTTGTTAAGCTAGATGCCTTTACTTTGATGCAGATGTTGGCAATGGGCCTGTCTTGCCTCTGAGAGTTGCAGAGCCACGGACAGGATCCTTTAATTTGGAGCTGCTTTAACCAAGGTCCTGTATGCAGTCCTGTTAACGCTGACTGCAAGGTGCTCTGGCAAACCATGACATGAGGGCTCTCAGTGCTTGTCTGAGCAGAGGATCCCTGTTTTTTCCCGACGGATGGAAAGTGCTTTGGTTTAATAACACTCAGCTGGACTGTAGCTTCCTCGCACACTTGTCATTGATACGAGCAAACTCGGCTTTCCTAGGAGTGAACAGGGCTCTGTAATTCTTGGCACTGCCACTAGGCGAGTGATGAGGTCATAAAACTCTAGTGGATGAGGGATGATAACAGTGATCTCATGTGAACCTGAAGAAGCTCTGCCCCTCCTCAAGAAGGGCAGCATCTCTTGTAGCTGGTTTGAGTGTCAACCCTGAAACACATATGCCAGCTGCAGACTGCCAAAAGCTAACGGAATGGTTTCTGGAGGGAAAAGGGGGGAAGCAGGGTGGACCAGAAGCATAATTAAAAAAAAAAAAAAAAGTCAGCAATAGATCTGATATGATCCCTTGATCTTGATAGGTCAAATCTGAGATGTCAGAAGCCTTTTTTGTTGGCAGGTATGCACTTTGTGCTGTAGGCTATTGTTCGATCAGCTAAGGCTGAGAATTTTTTTAAGTGACCCTTTCCTTGGTGGTTTTATAAAACTTTAATATGAAATGTTCAGCCTTACTCTTATATGCAGGTAGCTTTTGTTCCTGGGAATTAAGATTATGCCAGAGCTAGCTATCTCTTCTGGACTGTTAGGTCTGATGGCTGATGTGTACATACTTGGGGTTTAAGCTACTTTTTTTTTTTTTTTTTTTTTTACATCTTTCAGTGACTTTGCATTTAGTATGATGGTAAATGAGCAAGGTGTGATAAAGAAAATGCGAAGATATCTTTCTATTCTTTGTGTTTTCCTATCTTTCAAGGAATTTTTTTTGTGTTAAACAAAGGCAGGTCTCCTAAATGAAATTACCAAGACCTTAAGGTGTTTCTTTTGAATTGCAGCACAGAAGGATCTTCAGACCCTGAAGAAGCTGGTGACTTCTGGAAAGAAAAATACTTGCTGCCAAGAATTGCAGTATCCAGAGGTTTCAAGTGACAGCGAAGACTCTGTCTTTGTAGAAAATTCATGGCAGGACTACCAAAAAGGGGGAGTGAAAGACTTAAAAGAGAGTTGGAGGTGCATAAAACACACACCTCCACAAAATCTGAAAGAGTCAATTTCCAGAGGCAGTCCAGACTTGCTTAGTAGAAGGAAAGAAAAATGCTGTGAAGAGAGTACAGAAAATGAAGTGCCAGCTGTGGCACTACAACAGGGTACAGGGCTAGAATCAGATAGCTCAGATGATGAATTTGAATCATTAATAGAACGGATAAGGAAACGAAGTACACCCCGAAAACCAATCTTAAGCACATGTAAAACTGTCTACCAGCCAAGCACAATAGGTAAGCAGTTGTTCTCAGCTAACTTGCAAGCTATGTATTGGCAGCAGTGGTAGTGATAACTGCCTAATTATTTTCATTTGTGTGGCGTATGCTTTAGAAGTGTAGCCCAGTATCTTGCAATTGAATTTGATGCTATCAGAAGTTATTCCCATGAGCATTCTGAAAAGTGATTGTCCTAGTCTTACAGTATCAAGATTTAAGTTTTTCACTACTTCTTGTTTTTATAATTCCTATAATTGTAGGCATTTAGTTTAAAAAATTGTTCTGAAACCAAATCTAACTAGTGGTTTTCAATGATGTTAACAATTTTTTTTATTTAAGATAGCAGTTAATGTGAAGCTGTCGTTTTGGTAAGACCGAAAATTTTAGCAGTTTAGATGCTATTAATTTAGTATTTGGATTTATAATTTATTTGATTTTATTTTAAATACAATTCATGAGACTTTCCAAAATCAGTAGCTCTTTTGACTAACTGAAGTGAGCTCCAACTGAAAGATCGCAATGGGGGAAAAGGGCTTCTGCTGAGTAAGAGCAGATGAACACAAATCTGTTTCTAGAAGAGTAAACACAGGGTGCCTTCCTCACTAACAAGGACTAGTTTAGGGCAAGGAGACCTATGGAAGAGGATGGCTGACAGCATAGAAATATGCCCTGGGAAAGAGCAATATATATATTTTTTTTTTAATGTGTCGGTGTGGTCTAGGAAACATTCTAGAAGTGAGCTGGCAGCTGTGTTGGCTTCTCTGTATGTGGTTGAACAGTGAAAGGATAGAAGTGGCCTAAACAGGGGAACAGTTATAGAAAAGCCAGCAGAGAGAATGTCTATTGAAACTGCAAACCTTGAGGTGGTCCTTGATTTCTGGTGTGAGGGCCAGTCACTTTAGCAATCTCTCCAGACATGGACTGTGGAAATGGTCAGCTACCCGATCAGAACTTGCCTGGGAAACAGATTATATGACTTATGGTACATGACAGAAGTTTAGAACGATTTCTTTGTTCAGATGGTGTGTCTGCATTGCTGCTCCCGATGGGCTGGTGATGTATTTTGAATTGGTGAAATGTTATAGAAATGCCTTTGTGTGGTCACCAATGCTTCCTCCCCTTTCTCCTAGCTGAATGTTTGAAAGTTTGGAGTCTGCCACTCCTCCACTGAATGGTAACTTTTGTAGTATATAACAGCAAATTGCCTTTCCAACAGCTGTAAAAGCCTTTGCGTTCAAGTATGCACAGTGTGTATGCTGAGGTGGAATATTTGACTTTTTTCGGTGTTGTCTGTTACCTGGTTGCTGGTGTCTGTGCTCCCGCCTCGACAGTGTGTAATCCTGTGACACTTTCTGTTGAACTAGAAAACATCAAGCCACCCTGTGAAGATGCCCAGCCCTTGAGAGGGGAGGGAGTTAAGACACCAAGGCCAAACACCACTTCACTTCAAGAAACACCTTCCAGCGTAATGGCTTCTGCAAGAATTCCTAGGAACGACTTAGTCAGTTGCTCACAATCAGCAAAGACAGACAAAAGGTAAATGTTACTCCATCTTTACTGGGTTCTAGGACCATTATAGATGGAAAAAAAGATGGTAAGCATTTTGCCTAGGATGATGATCTGATTTTTCTGGTACCTAGAAACTTCTGATACCAGTTCAGCAGTTGTTAATGGTTTGTATCTAGAAATCAAAGCTTTCAGTCTCCGGTACGACAGGGAGAGTGTAAGCTAATCTCTGCTTAGAGGAAGTGGTGACAAATCTGACAAATGTCAAATCTTTGTAAATAGCTCTCTTGCTATTTCTTGTCTTGGCACAGCATACAAAGATCTGAGCCATCCTCTTTTCCTGCTTAGGAGTCCTCATAGTCTAGTTTTGTGAATTAACAAAATAGCTGCAACAGCTCTGCTCCTTCATGCCCCTGAAGGGAAAGAAGACAGTGTAAGGGTGTGTCCCCCACTGACCTTGTGAAGCTAGTCAAAAGAGTAGGGAGAGGTTTACGCCAGTGGCAACGTGCCAGAGATCTATCTTGGCTATAAAGTGGCCATTATTTTTCAATGTGATATCTCTGTACTTCAGTAAACTGCTCTATGGCTTTTTTTGGCAGGCTCAGGTTGTGCTCGGTGCCTGGCTGTTTCTTGGAAGATCTCTCAAATCCAGCTTCCCACTATGTGAAGTATTTCAAGAAAAATAAAGAGGAGCTGGCACAGAAGCTCTACAGTCTGTATAACAGTACAATCTTTGAGCAGAAGGTTAGCTCCAAACCAAATACTCCAGTTCTAAAATGGTGGTTAATGTTGTTCCTCAGTTTGCTCTTTATCCTTCTCACTAGGAGCTAAGCTTTATAGCAATAGCTTATGTTTGAAAAAGTTCAAGCAATTTCTTTGAAAAGAGTGTATCACCACTGCGATGCTGATGGTTTTCAGCTTGGCTTGCTTTCCCAGATGTGATGGTGTACCATCCTTAAGTGTGCAGCTTGGATGGTGTCCGAGAGTCTTGATGAGATAAACTGTTACATGAGGGGCCTTGGATCAGTTTCATCTTTGAAGAGGTGGCTGATATTTATCTTAATGTATTTTCTAGTACCTGCATGGTCATCAGCTCAGAAGTCTGGGAATGTTTCTGTTGCTGCCTCTGGTAGTAGACCTCAGCAAAGGCAGATATGGCTTTCTGACACTGGAAGAAGCCCAAGGTTGCCTACCACTGTTGCTCATTCAGCTTTTACTGAAGTAACACGTACTAATGAACTGCAGCGTTAGCACAGCCCAATAGCTAGTCGTAGCACAGCTTTCTTGCCTGTGGCTGACAAAAGGCAAGTGGTGGGAGTGTATGTTGGGGAGCAGGGAGCTGATGGATAAAGGCACTTGCTTTTGTTGTTACAGCCTATTGCATCATGTGTAGTCATGCTACACGCAGTCTTCATTCATTCCTAGTGCATGTTTGTGTCTACCATTCTGGAACAGATTAGAAAGGTGGTTGTCCTTTGAAAAAACAGTTTGGGGTGAACCTAAAGCTGTGAGTTGTATTTCAGGTTGAAGGTTCAATTTCAGAGGACCACTGTCTTGACCTTTACATCTTCTGTGATACTGAAGACCCTCTTCTGGTGAGAAACACCCTTGAAAGGAAGGACGCTGTCCTCAGTAATTCCAGTAGAATTTCCTTCAGGAAGGAAAATGTTTCTGTGCAGCTGAGAAAATATTATTGAGCTCACCAAGGACAGGCTGAGGTCATGATTTCACATGCTGAACAGACTTCCTGTTGCTGAAAGCAAAATATCTTGTTCCCCAGTGCTTCAGCCCTGTACCCGTGCTGGTACTTACTGCTGTTGGACCATTTACTTAGCTCATTAACTAATTTAGATGACAGAAAAATGTTAGTAAAAGAACAGAGCTGACCAAGATAGACATGAATGAGGGCTTATAAAATCAGGAGCAGCACAGAGAATAAGCAGGGGGTGATTCTTCATCCTCTCGCAGTGTGAAGGTGCATCAAATTAAAATGGCAAGTTGCATGTTCAGCACAACCAAAGCAGGTGGTGTTTGACCTGTAAGTTATTAAGCTGTAGAACTTCTGATTATAGACTCTTGTGGGTGCTAACAATGGATATGTATTCTTAAAGATACACATATGCTCTCTCCCCAAAACATCAGAAAACAACTTTAAGGGCTATTTAATGCAAAGGAACCACCTGTGGCTCAGTGAGGTGTTGGTCTTGCAAAGTACTAGCAGTTTGAAAGCATACTTTTTTTTAAAGAGGAAATTCTTTTATGCCTTTCCTATCCTTGTATTTCCTCTTAAGCAGCATGTGTTAGCCACTGTTGGAGGCAGAATATAGGAACCAAGGGACTTTTTGTCTTATCTTGCATTGTGTAACTCCCAGCGTTGGTTACAGAAAAACTGATGGTGGGGATAAGAAGCCATGGAGTGTGGGTTTGCATCTTAAGTGACAGCAGTGTTAAGAGCACTGACAAACATCCTGTACTGGCCTTTCCGTAAATAAAAGGGGAAGAAGAAGAAAAGAGAGGTAGGAGAGGGCAGATTACATGTGCTGTTTTGTTTTTCAGTTACCAGATAAAATGGTAATAAACTGGAATAAGAAAATGAGAAAAACAGCAGGATATTGTGTAACTGGGCAGACACACGGTCCTGAAGGAAAGCGTTACGCTCGCATAGAACTATCTGAGAAAGTCTGTGACTCTGCAGGTATGTAAAAGGAAAGATATGTTGATTCTTCTTTGAAGAAAGTGAGTTCTAGAGATAAAAGCATGAATCTAAGAGATCTGGAACTGGACCCTGATTTGAAATTTCATATTACCTTGAATAAATAAATCCATTAATGGTAGTACTTGTCCTCACAACCCTTTTAAAGAGGTTGGGCAAATTTACAAAATGTGAGAATAGAGATGTATTCATGATAACTGCAGTATTTTGTTTATATTTCTTACTGATTTGAAGACCTATAGGTTACTCTAATTCTATATCGACTATAATGGCAATGTAAAATCTTCTTCATCATCTAGCCACCTTGCTGGTAGTATTTAAAGTTGGAATAAAGACAGGTCAGTGTCAAATTCTGTTTTGTGGTTGGTTCTGTCACTGTTATTTCTTCCTCATTCCCTCCTCATTTGGGGAAATGAATGTTGCAGTTACCCATAGGAGAACCAGTTCTGTTACTAATAAAATATTTTGAAGCAAGCTTAATAAATTTGATTTGAGAGATACAATGGAATACCCTGGGAATCTGCTTTTGCAGGCTTAGGAATCCCCAAGTGCTGGTTAGTGTATAAGAAACACCTTTTAGAAGTACAGGAGCAGGCAATCCCATTGTGTTGTAAGTCAAGCAAGCGGCGCAGAAAACCAGCTTGGCTGAACAGAGAACTCCTTGTGGAGCTCAAGAGGAAAAACAAATTGTGTGATCCCTGGAAGTGAGGTCAGGCTTTGCAGGAAGATTACAGAGCTGTGGTTCATGTATGCAGGGAGAAGACACAAAAGGCCAAAGCTCAGCTAGAGTTGGAACTGGCCAGTGTTGTGTCAGATAACAAGTGGGGCTTTTTAAAGTATGTTAATAGCAAGAGGAGGGCTAAAGAAAACATTGGACGGATGCTTGTTGAAGATGCTGGTCTGACTAATAGAGATGAAGAAGAAGCAGAGGCATTCAATGCTTTTCTTTTTTTTTTTTTTTTTGCCTCACTCTTTTTAATAAAACTTGGTCTGCCCAGTCCCCTGAGTCAGAGGACCACGAACAGTGACTTTCTACTTGTGGACCCAACAATTGTCAGGGACCAGCTGTATTAGCTGAATTGTTCACAAATCCATGGGGCCTGATGGGATTCCCCCCTGCCCCGAGTACCAAAGGAGCTAGCAGATGTTATGGCAGAACCCCTCTCCATCATCTACCAAAAGTCTTGGGAGGTCTCTGCTGACTGGAAGCTAGCCAGTGTTATTCTGATTTACAAGAAGGGTATGAGGGAAGACCCAGGAAACTACAGACCTTTTAGTCTAACCTCACTTCCTGTAAAAATTATGGAGAAGATCATACTGGGTACTATTGAAAGGCATTTAAAGAATAATGCAATCATTAGGCACAGTCAACATAGGTTCACAAAGGGAAAGTCCTGTTTAACTGATTTGATATCCTTCTAATCTTTGTGGTTGACGGGAAGGCAGTGGATGTAATTTTTCTGTATTTTACTAAGGCTTTTGATACTGTCCCTTACAGCATCCTTCTTGTACAACTGTGGGACAAGCAGGGTCATGATGTGCTGGGTGAAGAACTGGCTGAAGGGCAGAGCTCAGAGTGTTGCAGTGAATGGGGCTACACCTGGCTGGCGAGTGGCCACCAGTGGTGTTCATCAGGGTTCAATTCTAGGGCCAGTCCTATTCAATATATTTATCAATGATCTGGATGCAGGAGTTGAATGCACCATTAGCAAGTTTGCTGATGATACCAAACTGGGAGATGCTGTTGACTTTCTTGAGGGACAAGATGCCTTGCAGAGGGATCTAGATAGATTGGAGAATTGGACAATGATTAATGGGATGAAATTTAATAAAGTCCAAATGCCAGATTCTGCACCTGGGATGGAGTACTGCAGGGCACAAGCATAAACTGGGAGAGGAGTGGCTGGAGAGCAGCCCTGCAGAAACGGATCTGGGGGTGCTGGTTGGCAGCAGGCTCAGTGAGTCAGGAGTGTGTCCTGGCAAGAGGGCAAACAGCATCCTGGGGTGCATCAAACACAGGATAACCAGCTGGTCAAAAGAGGTGATTATCCCGCAGTATTCAGCATTGCTGCAGCCTCACCTGGAGTACTGTGTGCAGTTCTGGCCCTCACAATTTAAGAAGAAAGTCAAGGTCCTTGGATGCATCCAGTGGGGAACAAAGCTGGTGAAAGGGCTGGAAGGAATGTCCTATGGGGAGCGGCTAAGGACTTTGGGCTTGTCTAGTTTGAAGAAAAGGAGGCTGAGGGGTGATCTCATAGCTCTCTGCGGCTTCCTGAGGAGGGGAAGTGGAGAGGGAGGTGCTGATCTCTTCTCCCTGGTACCCAGTGATAGAACGTGTAGGAATGGTTCAATGCTGCACCACGGGAGGTTGAGACTGGAAATTAGGAAGCATTTCTTTACTGAGAGGGTGATCAAACACTGGAACAGGCTTGCTAGAGGGGTGGTCAATGCCCCAAGCCTGTCAGTGTTTGGACATTTGGACAATTCCCTTAATAACATGTTTAACTTTTGATCAGGCAGTTGGACTAGATCATCATTGTAGGTCCCTTCCAACTGAAATATTCTATTCTAATTGTGGAAAAAATTCAGTGCTCCACTCTAGTTGTGGATGAAAAAATATCAATGTCACTAAAGCAATCAATGAATTTTCATCTAAATAAAGGTGTTTCAGGTCTTGTTAAAAACAAACAAACAAAACAAAAAATCCCCAAACAGACTAGGCATGCAAGGAAGTAACTAGGATGCAGAATTAGGGCTAATCACAAAACTGGAAATGCACTGAGTAAAACCTTGTTTCAGGGCATTTTATGTTTTCAAAACATTGGTAATTCCCACCTCCAAAATAATTCTTGCATCTTGATTAAGAATGAGTATCAAAGGTCTGAAGCAGTGACCACAGATGAAAGTCTGTACTTCTCCATACCTGGTCTTAATGTCTCTTGTTTGCCTTACATCAAGATCGTCTTCGAGACACACTGGTTCATGAGGCTTGCCATGCAGCCACCTGGCTGATCAATGGTGTTCGTGATGGACATGGACAATTCTGGAGATTCTATGCCAATAAATCAGCTGTGATTCATCCGGAACTGCCAGTAGTAACACGATGCCACAGCTATGAGATTAATTACAAATTCATCTATGAGTGTGTTCTGTGCAAAGCTACGTGAGTAATGTTTTAATCTTCCATACGGCTATGTGTTAACTTTGTCTCTAACTTGGCAGTCTCCTGGGTCTAGAAATCATGGGTGTTGTAAATTGTGAAGCAATTGGGATATTCTCTGAGTTGTCACTTCACATTTCCTGAGCCCACAGAACCTCACTATGTGATTCTACATGTATGTTTCCAGGTAGTTTCAGTTCCAGTTCAGAGGTCAGGACAGGCAGGTGATGGTCTAAGGACCATTGGTGATGATGGAGGGTCTTTGGGAAGCAGTCAGAGATATGTGCCTCAGCTTTGAAGGACATGGCAGGGAAAGGTCACACCCAATGTGGCTGTTCTCACTTTTCAAACATTGTTCAAATTATGTAAATTTGGATTCACCTTCTACTGTAGTTAATACTGAGTGAACTTCTGAAAGTTTTTGACCACTTATCTCTGATTTAATGATCAACAGTGATCCTATTATAGACTTTTTGGTAGGGGTTGGTCTTTCCAGTCTTAACTAAGTACTCCATCAGGAGTGATACTTGTGGGCCTGTGCTGATGGAGCAATGACTGAATCTGGCACATCCCCATAGAATGCCTGTAAGCAAAATACCGGCATGTGTTGCAGAAATAAGGCATTCCAAGTTCTTTTGAAATCCATCCACATTTTACATTTTACAAAGTAGCATCTTTGAAGGTGCCATGACAACAATCTAGGCTTGATATAAGGAAAAACGGTCCACAAGGGAGGGCTAGACTTGGCATAGTGGACTGAGTTACTTTTGATGTGCTCATCCTTGTAATGATACCAAGGACCATCTGATGCTGAAAGGAGTCAGCAGTAACTAGAATTAAAAAGCAGAACAAATCGCCATAAAAACTGGGCACAAAATCTGTGACAGTAATTAGATAATAGGACAAAGTATCAGAGGAAGCTTTCTGGGTTTTGGATCTTTATAACTTTGAATTAAGATTAAATGTTTTGACTAATCTTGTTTATTTGTTGTGGTAGTGCTAAGTAAAATGTAGAAATTGTTACATTGTTGGTCTCTATTAGTTTAAAACTCTATAAAAGCTATAGTCAGTTTTTCTAGTTGATCTTGTACCTCATGGACTCTTTCAGCTTGTGTATATATTAGAAAGAATAGATGTCTGCAGTCACACAGATGTGAGCATCACCGTGATGGATCGAAGCTAGGACACAGATCTACCGGTAGATTTGCAACATTGGTCATCAGATTTCTGTCTTCTTGGATATTGCACTGGTGAAATGAGAACTATATATGTTGCTGAGATCAAGCAGAGGAAATCGTTGCTATAGTAATTTCACAGGTTTCTTACCTTTCATGGGTATGGAAGTTGTTCCTTGATCTAGAATATCACAGCTGACCACACCCTGTAATGACCTCCATCTCAGTGGGAGAGCATGAAGCTTTATGAATTCAGTTCTGCATAGCCCAGGAAAGTGGCTATCAACGGTGTGATTTTATTTTTTTTAATTTTTTTAAAAATTATTATTATTCCGCTCCTAACTTTAGGGGCTAAATGCATGCTTGGGATTTTTTTTTTTCTCAGGAATGTATGTGCTACTTCCAGAAGCACTGGAAGGAAACAGTATTTCACACATGAAAGAATCTTCCTGAAATGTTTAATATGACTGTGCAATGCATTAGTTATTTAGATAAAACAGAGCATTGATAAGATGAATGGTGATGGCTTTGAGGAGAAACTCCAAGGGGTAGCTGAAACACGGGTTGTGGAGGTGTTGTGAAATGTTGTAGCACTTCATACTACTAGGGTGAGAGTAAAAGAGACAGAGGAAGGAATCAAGCAGTGGAAAAAGTTCTAGGGTAGAGAAATGTGTAATACAGATTTGATTATTCCACTGTCTGAAGTATGTAGTCTGTTCCCTGTTCTAAATGTTAGCTTAGAAATCTAACCTCAGTAGCCTGGCAGAAGAGAAAGGAGCCCTTTCCCACAAGTACTGTCTACCACAAGTGTGAAATCAAAGAACTTATTTTTCCGTTTCAGGATTGGACGTCATTCCAAGTCTCTGGATACAGAGCGCTTTGTGTGTGCGTTCTGTGGGGGGCAGCTGCTCCTGAGTCAGCCCACTCGGAAGGATGGCACTCCTGCTAAGACACGTCTAACGCCCTTTGCAAAGTATGTGAAAGAAAACTATGGACTTACTAAAGGAGAGCAGCATGGGATGAGTCATGCAGAAGTCATGCGGAAACTCAGTGCTGATTTTGCTTTAAAAACTAGGCTTCAAGATTCCTTGTAATATCCTGATATACTTCCTTTCTTGATGCCACTTAAATTTTGTATGTCATAGTAAATGAACCCAACATGAGTGTAAGAATGTATTTTGGAGGATTCCAGATAATTTTAATATTTTAGCATCAAGTACTTCTAATAAAGATGACCTTAAGACCTTTTCTAAAATGGGCAAGAGTGAGCAAGAAGTAATTATGATAGTCCATGGTGATGCTCAGTCAGAGTATGCTTCTTAGACTTCAGATAAACACCACCTGTGCCTGGGAAGATGCAGTTCTAGGTCCTTTCTGGGACTGACTCACTGTTTGTCTGGAACTTTCTTAATGGCATTTACACACAGTGCTTCGTAGCATGTCTTCAGTGAGTGCAGTGAGCAGTGGATTTACTCTTTCATCTAGGTAGCTCATACACTATAGACTATGTACACGTGCTGAAGAACTGCTGGGTGTGCATCTGTCTGGGATTTCCAGATGCAAGAAAAATCCAGACTCATGAACCAAAGTCCTCTGATTCTGTCTGGATGACTTCCAGGCAGGAAAAGGGGGCAGACCTGAGGAAGGCTTCAACGTGGGTTCAGGCATTCTCCCAAGGAGAGTTTCTTGAGTGATCCTTAGCTGTTTTTGTTAAAAGTAAGTGGCAGGTACATGATGCCTCAAACCTGTTAGAGAAAGCATGAATTTCTGCAAAGCCCTCTGGCCCTTAGTTGAGATCAAAGCTTTTCCTGATTAAACTTTGATTGCAGTTGTGCCTCTGTCACTCAGATTTCATAGAAGCTAAAATAGATGCAAAAGGTCAGGTTGGGGAAAGCAAACTCAAACGCTTTCCACCACAGAATGAGAAGGTCTAGTCAGATGACGTCAGTCTTTGATGTAGAACATGGCTGAAAGTGTGTTACAGTATTTGTGTCTGCTGTGAACAAATTGCTCAGGGGATTAGTAGTTTTGAATAATCAATAAATGCCAATTTTATAGCAGTTGTGGCAATGAACCAGGCTTCTTTGTTTCGATTTAGCAGTGGCTGTGTAGACACAATATGTGAAAGCCTCTGATTTCTCCTAGCTAGTTGTGAGTTTCACATATATGAGGTCACTCTGCTCTCAAGAATACCTCTCCCTGCTCCCCACTTCCTCCTGCCCTGCCTTTATCAATCCTGTTACACTCTAGCTCAAAAAGAAATATTAGGAGCCCATGAAGTTTGAGCTGCTTCAGGAATAGTTGGTACTGAAGCACAGCTCCTCTTGGCACCTCCATTGCCTGTGCTGAGCTGGCTGTTCAAAGGGAGGGTCCTCTGTGCATATCGTGCGACTGGTGCTACCTGGAGTAAGTGGGTTGCACTGATGATGCAGTGGGCTCAGATGGGAAACCCTGACTGCCCAGGAAGCTTGGAAGTGATCATGGACTGGCTGGAAGGCTGAAACTTTGGAGTGTCACCAGAGGAGGTGACTCATGCTGAAGATAGTAAACTATCCCACTGTATAGTAAATTAATAGCAAATGAGAAGCAGTAAGACCGAAGACATTGGAGGTGGACAGCTGCTGTGTGGGGTCCTGCTTGGTGTGTGTCGGTGAAACTGCTGAAGGAAAAACGTTAAAATTGTGTCAATTTGCAGAAGTAAAAGCCATCCAGCTGGCTTTAGATGTTGCTGAATGAGAAAAATCTCTACATGGACTCATGGATCATGCCAAATGCTCTGCGTGGCTACAGCAGCGGAAGCAGACCAACTGTCAGTGCAGAGGTAAACCCATCCGGGCTGCTGCGTCATGGCAAGATATTGCTGCTTGGGTAGAGAACCTGTTAGTGGAAGTATGTCATGTAGATGCTCACGTACCCAAGAGTCATTGAAACAATGATCTGGTGGACTGGGCTGCTAGAATTGGAGTGGCTCAGGTGGATCTGGACTGGGAACATAAAGGTTGAGCGCATCAGGATGTCTAGGACAGGATGTGACATACAAATGGGCTCGTGGTCAAGGGGTGGACTTGACCGTTAATGCCATTGCACAGGTTATCGATGAATGTAAAATGTGCACCATAATCAAACAAGCTAAGCAGCTAAAGCCTTTTTGGTATAGAGGATGATGGCTGAAATATCAATATGGGGAAGCCTGGCAGAGTGACTGTATCACACTATCACAGAACCTGCCATGGTAAGCACCATGTGCTCCAAGGGTAGAAGTGACTAGTGGATGTTTGGAAACATACCCTGTGACCCACACCACTGCTTAGAATACTACCTTGGGCCTTGAAAAGTTTTATGGTGACATGACATCCCTGAAAGAATGGAATCTGACATTTCCAAAACAACCTCATGAACACCTGGGCTAAGGAGCATGGCATTAACTGGGTGTATCACATCCCCTGTCATGCACTAACCTCTGGGAAAACCGAATTATACAATGGACTGTTAAAAACCACACTGAGAGCAATGGGTGCTGGGACATTCAAGCATTGGTATAGAGATTTATCAGAAGGCACTTGAGAATCTGGTAGTCGACCTGGCCTTGCCCAATCAAAACCCCTGCTCACTGTGGAAAGAGATAATATCCCTGCTGTACAGCTAAGGAACTGGCTGGGAAAAAAACATCTGGGTTACTCCTTCCTCAGGAAAGGGCAAACCCATTTGTGAGGTGATTGTTTTTTTGCTCAAGGACCTAGGTGCACTTGGTGGGTAATATGGAAAGATGGGGCAGTCCAGTGTGTAGCTCGAGATAATTTAATCCTGGTTGAAAGTAACCTGTGATTTGTTTGTATGATGGCAGTGATGGTCTATGTTACTACAGCTGTGGCTGCCGTATGTCAAAGGTAATACAGCAGGAACCTTTTGCTGCTAGCCAGAGTGGCAGAGACAGCCTGTGATGGACTGACCGCAACCCCCATTCTCTGCCCGCCTGTGCCACCAGATGGGAGAAGGTACAGAAATTGGGAAGAAAGCCTTTGGGCCTAGGAAGAAGGGAAGGGGGGGAGAGGTGCCTTTCTAAGATGTTATCTTAAGTTAGGAGTTAAGTTCTTAAGTTATCTCATTATCTTATTGTGCTTTTGACTGTCAACAAGTTAAATTGGTTTTCTGTGTTTTCCCCAAGTCAAGTCTGCTTCTTGCCCATGACCTTAAGTGGTGAGTGAACCCTCCCCATCCTTGCCTCAACCCAGGAGGTTTTTTTACCTTTTTGTTCTTTCGATTCTCCTCCCTATCCCACTAGAGGGGAGGAGAGAGTGAGAGGCTGTGTGGGGCTTAGTTGCCAGGTGGCCTTAAACCACAACAGTGGTGAAACCACTGGTGCTGCTCAGGGCATCCTGAGTGACCAGGGCTTGACAGTGAGGCTGGAGCAGAGAGCTCTGCCCTTCTTGCAGGCTGCATCCCAGAGCAAACACAGGATTTCAGCTCAGACCACATATGGCAGCATGGGGATGGGAGGCCATCAATACTGGGAGTCTGAAAGGACAAAACTTGTTGCTTGGGGAGGGGCTAGGGGGTGGTTATGCTCAAAAACTAAACGAGCTTATTTCTACTATGGGCTGTCTGTAACCTCATCATAGTTTAAGCCCAGATGGCCATAACCACCACACAGCCACGTGCTTGCTCCTCCCCCCATGAGTAGGATGGGGAAGAGAATGGGAAGAACAAAAGGTAAAACCTTGTGGGGTGAGAGGACAGGAGGGGATCACTCACCACTTACGATCACAGGCAAAACAGACTCAACTTGGGGGAAAATCAATTTAATTTGTTACCAATCGGAGTAAGATAATGAGGAATAGAACCACATCCTAAACAGATACCTTCCCCCCCATCCCTCCCTTCTTCTCAGGCTCAAAAACTTCACTCCTAGTTTTCTCTACCTCCTCTCCACCAGCAGCACAGAGGACAGGGACCGAGGGTTGTAGTCAGTCCATCACACATTCTCTGCCACTCCTTGCTCTGCAGGGGTGTGACTCTTCCCCGGTGCCAGCATGGTGTCCTTCCCACAGGACAGTCCTCCACGAGCTTCTCCAATGCAAGACCTTCCCCACGGGCTGTAGTTCTTCACAAACTGCTCCGGTGCTGGGTCCTCCATGGGCTCCCAGTGGGTATCTGCTCCACCCTTAACCTCCAGGGGCTGCAGAGGGACAGTCTGACATCTCACCATTGGCTGCAGGGGATCTCTGCTCTGGCACACCCCCTCCCTTTCCTTTCTTCACTGGCCTTGGTGTCTGCATAGTTGTTTTTCTCAAATCCCATTTCTCTCTCTGCTGTTGTTTTTCCCCCTCTTAAATATGTTATTCACAGAGGCAGTACCACCCTGGCCAGAAGTGGGTCTGACTTGGAGCCAGGGAAGCTTCTAGGCAGCTTCCCACAGGAGCCATCCCTGTGGTCCCTCCCCTGCTACCAAAACCCTGCCACACGAACCCAATATAAACCTCACGTGGGAATGGCCCGTAGCCTAGAGAGGGGCGGCAATCCAGAGACCCTGGCTGGGATCTTGAGGGAAGCAAAACAGAAGAATTGCAGGCCTGAACTGCGGGAGAGCTTGTTTTGGCTTTATCTGGGATGTGTTTGGCAGGATGCCCCCAGAGATTGCACTGGAGGGCCAGGAGGCGCAGGGCTGCTGGGCGATCTCCACGAAGCTATCATCAAACCTACAGCCAGTGAGGCACCCCCCCACCCCACCCGAGCACAGATCAAGGTAAGGAGCACTTGAACACAATAGCAAAACCAACAGAACAAAGACACTGACATTTCTAAGACTAATTAAAGAAAAAATACTATTTACAGCACTTTTAAGGAAAAAAAAAAAAAGCAAGCATTTTACTTCAAAAGAAGTTCTACAGTTTGGGGTTTTCCTAATATCAGTGCAGAGGGCTTCCAGGTCTGACAGCAGTTTACAGTTACTAATCGATATTGGCTATTCACGGTAAAGGGAGTACCTCTGCTCATTTTCATCTCCTTGAACATGTCAGGATTTAGATTAGAACCAAACAGCTGAAACAGAAGTTTTAACTGTGCTGTTGGTTCCTTTGTTCACATCAGACAGAATTCACATAACAGAATGCAAATAATGATGTACATGATGGGGGATACTCTGAAATGCAACAGCAAGAACATTTAAAGGATGGGTTCAACAACAGGTATTTTGTTCCATTTCAATCTAACGAAATTTCTGCAATAAAGTTCAGCACATAAGAATAAGATGCTTACATATCTATCAGTTCTCTTCTCAGCATCTTCACCTTTTTGCCCTCTGGGAAGGAACCACACTCCTCCCACTGAGCCAGTAGAAACAGTCCATTTGGAAAAGAACCTTGGTGCTGAGCATGCAACAGCATTACAAGAAAAGACTACAGTCCAAAAAATGCAGGTACTGGCACTTTGTAGCATCCATTTCATTTCTACTCCAAACAGCCCTGGCTTTGGAATTCTTTATTTGGTTTGAAGTATGCTGAACACAGATTCTATGTCAAAGTTCTTCCAGCACTCTACCCAAGCTTCCCTCCCACCTCTTACCTGCCTGGGTGTAAAACCAGTAATCCAGAACATCACTAGATGTAAGATCATGGTCAACTGGAGCTACTACAAGGCAGAAGTTGGCAGCACCAGATATAACTGCAGGGACACACTTTTCCCCCTAAACCTCCTGTTCTAGGCTCCTGGAATACATGTAAAGCAATGAGACTTCTGACAAAAAATAGGGGAGGGAGAAACATGTTCCCTAGCTGTGTGTGTTCCAGAACTGAAGTCTCTTCTGGTGCTGCCCACCCCTACCACTGAGCTAGAATTGCATTGCATCATGCAGCACCTGGAGACATACCACTGCTTTCCATCAAGCCGGAGAAGATAAAGCCCTTACCCTGTAGAAGTTCTCTTTGCTGCATGGGGCAAGAGAAGAGGCACAGCTAGTATCTTCACTGTAAGGCAATGTAGGGCTACCCTTCAGCCAGGAGTAGGTCTTGTAGAGATTTTTTTTCATCTCTTTTCTGAAGGGTCTGCATTTCCTCCTTCACTCTAGAGCAGCTAGTTCCTCCAGGAGCTGCTCTTTCTCCTGCTTCAGCTCCTGCACCCGCTGATTGTTCTGCTCTAGTCTGTCCTCCAGCCATTGAAGAAGCGGCCCACTGATGGCAGACATCTGGCTGCAGAGGTTCTTTGTGAACACTGGAAAGGGCAAGAACATATCATGCCAGGGCAAATACACAAAAGACTCAGTCCGCTACAATCACCAAAAAGCCAAGAGCATTAGAGACAACCAACGAAACCCTCCAACATCCTGGCCAAGGCAGCAAGACATCCCCACAGGAAAGTCCGAATGAGCACCTCGCTAAGCAGGGAAACAAGCTATTTCAATCTGACCTTTAGACAAGCAGGGGAAGGATGACAGGCCTACAACACAAGTCTGGAAATCTGCATATAAGTCATCACTGATGCTAATTAATTTCTAAATTCAGAATAAAAGAATGCCTCATCTATTGAACAGGTGAGAATGGACAATGGTATATTTATCTCGGAATAAAAGCAGGATTAGGATTCACCCTGTCTCACTGGCAAAAGCAACAATGTCATAGGCACACAATATACAGGAAGTGCCAGGAGATGCAAGCACGCATATAGATCAGCCAGACTCACCAAATCCAAAATCCCCTTACTGTTCTAACAGAAAAAAAAACCACACCAACCCAAAATAAACCCCAAACAAACCCAAAGTCTATTGCAATTTTAACCAACTGTACAAAGGTCAAAGGATACAACAGCATTCATAAACCCCAGGATTAGGTTATTTTACAGCCCTTGATGTTTTCCTTTAAAGTGTTTAGTTACAATTTTGTTCCTCCACTAGCCTTTACGTAGCAAGGTAACAGTCTCAGGGAATTCTCTGGGTTACACAGAGTTTGTGATGGGAAATTAACTGTATGGCAAAGGAAAAGACAAAAGTTTGTGCTTTTGTCATTATTTACAAGTGCCCTTTATGTCAAAGAGAGCCTGTTACACAGCTGTGGTCTACTGTCCCCCAAAGTTAGAGCCAAACCAACCCCCGCTCAAGACTCTACTGTTTTGACTCTGGGAGCAGTATCCTGGATTCTTGTGGGCAAAAAAAGGAATCCTTACCTGAGCCATTATGAATCTTGGTTACAGAGTCTAGATGGGTGAGGCTGAGAGAATGAAGAGAACACGTCAGTGACAGGATATTAGTGAACTGCATATTCTGCAGACCCAGGCTATAGAACCAGCTACCTACAAGTCACTGACACTGCAGTTACATCTAAACCTCTTCACTTGTTGAAGCCCTGTATGTTCACAAGGATAACAAAGAGCTTACAGCACAGAAGCATCAGTACTGAGCAACAGAGGCATTAAAAAGCTGGTATTTAGTCTAATTTTTTAGACTTCTCAGCACATTAGTTAAACACTAATTACTGTCACACACAGATACATCACTGAAGTGCCACCATTAGCTCACACACACTCCAGCTCTTTTTTTGTTGCAGCAAAAGAGCAGTTACACTTAGCTCTTGTGTGCAAGGCTGAGAGAACTTGAACTTCTTAATGTGAGGTATTCAATTCGCTCTCCTACAAAGGCACATGAGCTGCTAATGCTTTTTATCTTCTAATACCCCTGCTAAGATTATGGTACTTTAAGTAGAGCAACCGTAGAACGTGTTAGCAAAGACAGTCTTGGAGAGAGGTGCAGCCCTAGTGTTGTTACCTGTGAATTCTCCTATAGGCATCCTGCTCTTCTTGACAAAGGATCTTGGGCAGCTCTACAGCTGATTCCAGACACACTTTCCCAATAGTTTCATGGGGGACAACATGAATAGGAATTTCAATCCTTTCATATCTAAAAGGGTATCAGATACAATTAACAAAAAAAAAGGACTTCTACAATCCTGCAACAGTCTGTCCAAGGCACGGCACTGCTGCAGGTTTACTTTTGGGAACATATGCCTGAGACGAAAGGCAAATGGAAGCCTTTTATAGCCACACACTTGTCTTAAATTTAAATTATAAAATGCTAAAGCAACTAGATGGCCAGTGCTGACAATATGATGCACAATGCATGTGTGGTTGGTGGGGACTCCACACCATGCAAGCCTGAAGTCTCAGATTCTAGAGCTGTAGAGTTGGCCCTCTACACAACAGATTACAGCACATTCACACCCAGACTACAGTGTCCTACACCAATTTTAGGATACTAAAATATCTATGCTAAATTAATCAGTCATAAACTTTAGATTCTCTTCAAGCAGCCTGCATTAGCAGAAGGAGACCTCGTTCAGGTATCCCTATATGTTATTTGCTCCTCATGATGAGGCCAGAAGTCACTCATTTGAGATAACCCAGAAAGGAGACACAAGAGGAAATACAATCTGATGCTGGAAATACAATCTGATGCTGGACATAATATTCTTCTGCTGTACTCACTCTGAGCTCTTCTGGGCTTGAATGGACTGGAAACAGGTGTAGAGAATTCTGCCCGTCTAAGAGAGACAGCAGAAAGTTAGATTCCAAGAGCAAAAAATCACCTAAAATCACACATTCCTTTTCACATAGCATTTTAATAGGTTACAAAGGTACACACTTTTTGCTTTGATTGGTATACTGGAACTGTACAAGCACATATTGACAGACCCCCGTTAACTACGAAAAACATCTCAAAACCTAGACAAGACACAGCCTATCTCACACTAGAGCAGCATCTCCTAAAAGGCCAGAGGCACAGAGGTGCGGTAAGCTGTATCTGCTGGACCAAACAGCTGAAGGGCCCTCACACATTTCAGTACACACACACACCCTGCAGCCATCTGACAGCCCAAAACACTAGTACCAGCCCAGCTCTGCTGGATGGAGAGCCAGGCTTGTGGATCAGCACAAAGTAATTAATTTGTCATTGAGATTATGATCCAAACATTACCATCCTAGCTGTGCTTTGACTGTGGTCCAAGCAGAGCTCTGCCCTTCTTGCAGGGTACAGCCAAGGATTTCAGCTTTGCCCTGGGGCTGATGTTTCTCATGAGTACTTGGAGGGTTTATTGCTGTTTTTAAGTTGCCTACCTTTGTGTTTTTGTCCTCAATGAAGCAGGAAAAGATAAGCCCTACAAAACCTTGGTCCATCATCTGATACATAGCTTGTGTGCGGACATCTGCAGACAAATAAATGAGAGAATAAGAACTGCACTGGTCACCTGAAGGAGTGGAAAAAGATTTGCCACCTTTTGAAGGGTGACCTGAAATTAGGTAAGAAATGTAACAAGCTTTATTATTTTAAAGTACTTACTCCAGGTAACTAAATTAAAAAAAAAAAAAATTGAGCCAGCCAATTTAAAGTGTAATTAAATAGCAAATCTTAAAAAATACAAGATGAGTTAACAAAACAAGAAATTATTTTAGCATCAGCCTGGTGCCACAGGTCACTATATAATAATGTGCAATGCATATAAGATACCCACTCACTTCTTTCAAAAAAGTTTTCGGTTTTGCATTAACACTCAGAGATGTCAAAAACCATCACAGCAGGCCTACGATTCCCACAGCTTTTTTTTTTTGCTATTTCCCACACCCTAGATCTAGTTTTTCTGTCTGGAAGAACAGCAGCACTAGTAGCAGACAATTTGTGATACTGAGTCACGTGCAGTTTGATCACCTAGCACACACAAACAGGAATGGAGCTATCCTAGCAGATGTTCCTGAAGCCCACACAGACAAACTTGTCCTACCAGAGCACATTTGAGAAAATAAACTTTGACAGTCGGGATGTGCAGCTCTGAAAATGCATTAAATTGAGGAACGTGATTAGGCAGCTGTGAGTTTTTCTATAGAACCTAGACCCAGACTGCTCTTACCGACGTGCGACGGCCAGACAGTAATGTGAGGATGAGAGTGATACCAGCCCACAACTCTCATGGGACGTCCCGTGATTTCAGCCAATCTGTGTGTGAGTCAAGGTGTTTTTGAAACAAATCGAGCAAATGGAACAAGTTTTTTGTACAAGGAAAAACAGCAGTGTTTTAAAAGAGCTTCTCATCAGTCAACAGGATTCCAGATCCCTTTAGAGGGGTGATGAGACACGCAGGAGGAAGCTGATAGACGCCTCTTCCCCAGCACTGCCAGGGGAGTGTAGAAGCAAACTGGATTTGGTTTGCATATGGCAATAAGCAACATGGCAGAGAGCTGTCTCTGCTAAAGGATATCTCTGCTTCAGTAGAAGCAGCTGAAAGCTGCTCTGGTGAAATTTCCACACGGTCTTTTCTCTTATCAGAGCGGCGCAGGATGATCACAGAATGGATATGAACAATTCGGCTGGTGTCAACCTAGGGACACAGAAGGAAAAATCGATCATTCCCCTGGCAGGGAAATAACCATTCTCAAGGCAAAGGCCGGCTCCCGCACCCTCAGCAGGGAGGTGTGCCCCAGGGTGCCGTGAGGCGCAGGTGGGAAGCGCTCCCGGCTCTCGGCTTCAACTGTCCCAGCAGCTGGAGCACGGTGACAGCCGGGAGCGGAGAGGGGAAACCCGGGGGCCCGGCTCCGCCCGGGAACGGCCCC